ACTGAGGCATTAATTGATGATTTAACCCCGTTTAAATATAATAGCTGCTGGTCATCCAAAACGAACAATTGAATGTTTATCAGGTAAAATACAAAAATAAATACATTAAATATTCTATCGAAACTCTGGTATGATATTATATGCATCTTCATTATACTTTTCTTAAACTTATTTGTTGACAAGATTATTTTTCTCTTTAATTTAATATAAGGTGTTGGTTCGAAATGTCAAGACCAAAAAGATCAAAATGAAGATGGTTTATTTAACCGATTTATAATTGCCGTTGCATACAAGTACCGTCCAAATCGTGAAACAATCGAGCCAAACAACAAAATACCAAAACTTTCTCATCTATTTTATTTAACCAAAAAGCTACATCGTAATACAGAAGAATACGTTTACAATGATGAAGGTAACTTTACTATTACGACAAAAACTAAACTATTATCCTATTTTATTTAGCAAAAAAAATTATAAAAGATGTGATTTATACTTATGATATGCTTTCATCTGATAAATCTAATGAAGATGATTTTCTAGCAAGGTAATTATTTAATTTATTCAATTTGTCTTTTTATTAATCCTATCTATGAAATTCGTATTATAGTTGCTATCAAAAATCAATCGAACGAGTTGAACGCTTATCACTTCCTCTGCATATACTAAAAATTTGTTCGCGTCGTTTATTTAATATGGTGGAAGATATAGAGTCATTTGGTATTCTGGATGATCAATTTAAAACAATATGTACGGAACAAGAATTAAGTGAAGCTGATCATGTAATTGATTATGATACATGTTTTCGAGCTTCTCTATTAACCAAATTTTATCTCAATCAAACCAAAATGCTTGCCGGTTATGATCCACTTACAGATAATATTTTAGTAAATAAAAAACGTAAGATAGTGTTTAACTTTGTTTTATATAAGTCAACAATGAATATTTTCATTAACATTCTATATGACTTAACGATAATAATAGAAAAATCAATTTATACTTTATTTTAATATAAGTACAAATTTCTATTTTCATATTAAACTAGATGGTATTCGAGTTTCACTCGTATACGAAATGCGATGCGAAGCAGGAATCTGAATTTCTTACGAAAAATCTTCAATTGAGAGAAATCTTGAATACTTTTTATGTAGCCATAATGGTATTCATCACTGAGAAAACTCTATTCTTACTTAGCGATACATTCTTAAAGACCGATTTCGATTGATCGATTAATTATCTCCATGATTCATTATCTTAAATCAGCTGTAAATGAATAGACTTTAGCAGCTAACATATGTTGATGACGTCATTTTAATTATCTCAGGACAAATTTCTTTCATTTTCGTCATTTTGGAATGATATTTGTGAGTGAATGGAACTCCAGATTGAAAATTCGAAAACAGGGGTAATAAGTTCGATCTTGATACTTCGATCTCACGTTTCAACCACTTTTCTACGGTTTTCCGTTCTCGAGATTATTAACACAGAAAATGAAGAAAAAGATGCGTATTTCTAGTTAAAAAGAAAAAAAAACTCGTGACGGACAAGATAAATGCTTCTGCTTCGCATCGCATTAAAAAAAAAAAATCGCGACGGACAACATAAATGCTATGCTTCGCATCGCATTAAAAACCGAAATTCTTTTTATAATAATAAAATTACGTATTTACCATTAGATTATATCTATAATATGATTCTATATAGATACTACAGATGTGCCTGAAAATGAAGTCAAACATGTAAAAAAATACATTGAAAATCATCCGTCTGATCGTATTCTTCTATCATCACTTCCTGCAAATTTAAAAAGAAAAATAACTAAAGATCAATATTTTGTCATATTTCGAGAAATGGAACTAGAAGGCAAAGGAAAAATTGAAGAAACAAATAATGTAACAGGTCCGAAAGGAGTTGTATTTGTAAAAAAGAAAAAAACTGATCACCAACCTAGTACATCTTCAACAACGAATCAGCAGCAAGCAAGTGTAGTTTCAACAACAAACGAACAAGCAACTATAGCTTTAACAACAAATCAACAACAAATGAATCAAACGTCATCAATAAATAATCAAGAAACAAATGAACCTTGATCAACAAACAGATTACCTAATTAAACTTATCATTAACATTAAATATTCTCATTGCGTCTTTTAGTTTTATTTCATTTAATGATAAATATTTTTATTTGAACTCATATGAGACAACTCGTCACTGTTTTTATTCTAGATTAAATGGATATTCCTCAGTCAGTGATAGAAATGTACGAAAAATTATGTAATAATATTTCTAATCAAAGGTATGATTTTTCGATTTATATATGGTATGCAAAATGTATATGAGTGAATTGCAACTTTTTGGTACATTTGCGTTTTAGCTGTATATCTCTAATAACTTTTCCCCCTCTCAACCGATTTGAATAATTTTCTCACAAG